CTTCTAAGGCCCCACCCCTCTCCAGCCACGCCCCTGAAGCCCTCCCTCTTCCACGTCCTTGCTCACAGCCACTCCCCTCTCCATGGCCCTTCTACAGCCCCACCCCCTCCTAAGACCCGTCCTCTGGCGCTTTCCCCTCTTGGGGGCATCAGTTATTGTCCCTCACAGTTTCATATATCAGCAGTGGACCCTGGACACAGAAGTGCTGGGCAAGGGGCTAGCGTAAGAGTAGCCCCAAGCCTGGTCCGCATAGCCACCTCCTCCTGAGGACAGCACTCAGCCTGGGCCCCTGGACCACAGGAGGCAAGGCAGTGGCCAGGGCAGGGGTGGGTAGCCCACCTGGCCTGTCCTCGTCTGGTACCTCCACTGCGGGGGGCCCACACAGACTTCAGAGGGAGTCTGGTCACAGAAGCCTAATCTGGCAGTGACTGGTAGGGCTGGGTCCCCCCTGGGTCATGCAGCCTACAGTCAGTGTCCAGCTGCCTGCCTGTGGTCACCCAACCCCATCCTGAGTGCAGAGGTCTGGGGGTGCTGCTGGGCACTGTGGAGGAATGCAGAGTTGGTGTGGTCAGGAGGTCTGGGCAAGACGTGTGGACTCAGGAGAGAGCAGGGAAGGGGTGCCAGCCATCCTTGGACCCAAGAGCAAGGGCAGGGGGCCTCCTGTGCTGGTTTCTGCTGCATGAGGACACTCTGATGTTTGGAAGGTGATGGACACTGGGTGGGAGCACCCAAGGCCTGAGGCAAGCTTGGGCCAAGATGCAGCCTTCTGGAATGTCCCAGGGCAGTGGGCATTGGGCATATGAAGGCAGGGGAGGTTTTGGGGACACACGGCTTGGGCAGATTGTGTGTGTGTAGGTGGCATCCAGATCCCCAGGTACTGGGCTTGATGACCAGGGCATCATCCGAGGGACATCCCTCATCTCTTGAGCCATCACAGGTGGCTGTGGGCCTGGAGAAAGAGGTGCTGAAGGGCCAGCAGGGGGACATGCTGCACTGTCCCTTCTCAGCCCCGCTGGACACACTCCTGCACACAGCACCCCCGCCCCCACCATGTGTCCCACGCTGTCAAAGGCTGGCCCTGTCCTTGTGTGGGCTGACGTGGACATCAGTGCTGACACTCCACCCGGCGGCCACGCTGCCTGCCTGGCCCATGGGCTCCCGAGCGGCACCAGGCACCACCAGCCGAGTCACTGGCCGGGGTGCAGGGCAGCCCTCCAGCCATCTGCATCAGCAACCCCCAGGGTGGTGGTGGGTACAGTCTCCATGCACCTGCAGTGCCGGCCACAGTCAAGCCCCCTGGCCCCGCCCTCCATCTGCCCGGCTGCAGGGGACAATGCAGGCCACTCCCCGGGGACACTCGATGGCCTTGTCTGTGCTCGGCGACAGAGCCTGCCTGTCCTAAAGTCAATTAGATCTGGAGAGCTCTCAACACAATGGCCAGGCCTCTGCCGTCCTGCTGCCCTTCTGCCCAGAGACATGCCTGACATGCCCCTCATCCTGCCATCCAGCCTCCGGGACAAGGCTGGCCAGGCAGGGCTGCTGACCACCCAGTCTCCGGGATGGACGGCAGGTTCTGGGTCAGGCCACAGTGAGGACAGGGCAGGGTCTCGGGCATCTGAGACACAGTCACCCATGCCCCATGGGTTTGGCTGTAAAGACCGAGACCAGAGCAATTCAGGGGCCAGGGGCCGTCCATGCTGACAATGAGCTGGGGAGTTGGGGGACAAAGAGCAGCCCACAGTTAAGAATCCACTGCCCGCACACACTGGGCAGGGCGCTGGCACAACTTCCTCCTGGCCCTACAGCACAGAGTGGCCAGCAAGGGTCCCGCTCTGCAGCAAGGTGGGCCAGGTAGCGAGAGCCCCGAAAGGCATTGGGTGGGGGGTGGGGAGGTCCCTCGACAAGCAGCAGGGCGGGCCGGGCCAAGAGAGCCTCAAAGGGACAGCAGGGTTGGGGACAGAAGGCCTCACAGGCAGCAGGGTGGGCCAGGTTGAGAGAGCTCCAATGGGTGGCAGGGTTGGGGATGGGGGCCTGATGGAAAGCAGCATTGGGGATTGGGGACCCCAAAGGGCAACAGAGCTGGGGATGAGGGACCTCAATGGGCAGCAAAGCTGGGGACAATATCTGGAATCAAAATGCTTGAAAAGATTAGAGGTTTGTTAATTGCCAGGAGTGGTGGCTCTGCGGCCATGTCTGGTTGGGATGGTCCTGGCTAAGGTCAGCATGTGCACGACCTGAAGGGACAGCCCTGGTATAAATCCCAGGGCCGTCACAGGACAGGCCCAGGCAGATGTGTGTCACGTGCCTGCAGGACTCCAGCCCGAGGGGCAGTCCTGCGTCACACATGAACCCCATGACCCCACATCAGCCTCTGCTGGCCACAAGAAGCATAGCCACTCCCCAGTCGCTGCTCTGGCCACCTGGCTGGTCTCCTGAGAAGGGTCATTTCTGCAATCATTCCTCTGGCCACTACTGCGGCCCGGCTCTGGTCATTTCTGCTCCAGCCACTCAGGCCATAGTCTCCTTCGGTGGAGTGAGCCGGACAGTATGCAGCTGGACGCTGCCTGTGCACAGATGGCCCTGCTGCACCTGCCCGTGGGCTCTCGCCACTACTTGATGGGCAAACTGATCAAGTACCATCCAGAAGTGACCTGCTGCCTCCAAAGGGGACGCATGGGGACACAGTCCCTGCATCCAGCACCACTTGCTGGACCTTCAAGGTCTGCCAGAGACCCAGGGATGCACAAAGATGGACAGCTGTCAGTACACACCCAGCAGCCATTAGTCTGTCCAGCTCCGAGGGGCCACTACCTAAGAGGTGGGGAAGTTGATGTGGGCCCGTGGCTCTGGCCGCACCTCCTGCCTGTGAAGGTGGGACCTCAGGAGCCAGGTGCTGTGTACCCGACCCATCCGAGACCAGCGTGTGCATGCAAGGGGCCACCACACACAGACACATCAGAGACACATCATGGACATACACACGCACAGCTGGACACAGACATGCAACACCCCAGGAAGATGCTGATCCCACCCCACACAGACACACTCACATGCCCCAGGTACACACAAAGATACACACAGACTGACATACACAGAGGCACACATATGTACGTACAACTGTGCACACATAGGTACATCCGTTCACATACACACAGGGTGATGTACACAGTGCCTGGCCCTCTTGTGCCTGGGTCCCCCAGTCCTGTATCCTGGCCAGTGCCCAGCCTGTCCCTAGGCCAGCCCCCAGCTCCCAGCCCCCAGCCCTACAGCCTGGCTGTCCCTAGGCCAGTCCCCAGACCCCAGCCCTGCAGCCTTGCCCATGTCCAGCCTACCCCAGGCCAGGCCCCAGCCCTCAACCCTGCAGCCTGGCTGTCCCTAGACCAGCCCCCAGCCCTCAGTCCCCAGCTCCAGTCCCCAGACCCAGCCCCCAGTCCCCCCTGCCA